GGGGGCGGGGAGGGAGGGGGGCAGCGTGAGCCTGGGGCTAAAGGGACTGGTTACTTCTTTCTAGCTGTATGATGTTACTTAAAGAGAGTTAGCCTGTCTTTCAAATATTCTGTACTCCACTGAATAAGGAGTACCATTTGAGCAGAGGTCATCTGCCCAGTGACCACGAGCTTGTCAGTAACAAATGACCAGTACGTGTTAAGCTTATCTTTATCCCTTGCTTCGTTTTCTTTTAAAGAACTCTTTTAAAGAATTTTTTCTTTAGAAGAAAAAATTAGTTTTACCCTCATTTATAATTCAGTAAAACACACAATTTATTTTTACCAGCTTGGTGCCTCAATTTCCCCATCTGCACACAGTGACCTTGACAAGGGGAGGGCCACAGGGTGGAGGGGAGCATACGTGAAGCTGAATCAAGGAAAGCACTTAGAGTCAAGCCGGACACACGGTGGGTGCTGCCTACATGTTTGCTCTTGCCGTCAGCCATTCTCCCTCTTGAACCCCGCTTTCCTCTTCTTGCCCCAGCTCCCTCAGGAGTCCTCTTCCCCCTGGTGCCAGCTCTGCCTTTACTGTGATGCAAGCTTGGCCGAGTTTCCTCAGCTCTGAGATTCCTCTTCTGTAAACTGAGGCAGTTGAGTGGCTCCAGTCCCTCCTAGCAGCTCAGAGTACGAGGTGGGACGCCGCGGGTCCCCTTCCCACCACCACCGAGCTCACCCTTTCCCTGGCCTGTTTTAGCACGGCCCTCCCATGAGGGCAGTGGGCTCCTTTCCATCAGCTTGTTGTGATATTCCCACTCGCACAATAGAGGGAGCCCTTCCCTCAAACCTGAGCAGTCTTGTCCGTTCTGTTTTCCACTTTTTTTTAGCCTCTTTGGTTATCCTAAAAGGCAAGAAAGATGTCTCTGCCCCATTTGTTCCCGATTGGCCTGGGAGCAGCTTCCCTGCTCTGACAGCAGGCCTTGCCCTCAACACGGTCCCTCTGCCCTGGCGCTGGGAGGGTAGAGTTGCTTCTAGCCACACGACAGCTGAAGTAGGTCAAGGAGCCCATATTCCAGCTGTCTTTTTATGTTATCGACACCTGCCTTCTACATGGGGACACTTGATCGTGACGGTGCCTTCAGCCAGTGGTTCTCAAACTTGAACCTGCCATGGCACCCATCACTTGAAGGGTTTACTAAAGCATGAGGCTGATTCAGTAGGTGGGTGTGCGGGACGGGGGGAACTTGCACTTCTGATAAGTTTCAGGTGATGCTGCTGCTGCTGGTCCGGGGACCACAATTTGGGAATCAATTTGGGAATCCTTAGGAGGTAAGAGGAAGTATCATGTCCAGTGGCAAAACTACGAGTGAGTTATTTCAGGACAAGAATCTTTGGGGGCCGTTTTCAAAACAGAACTCAAAGAGACCTTCTGGGCTGCACCAATGCTAGAGGGGGCGAGGTCTTAGATCAGGTTATTCTATCTAACAGATGGAGAAGTAGGC